TGCTGTTTCAGGAACTTGGGAAACTCCCACCAGCAGCTTGCACTAGACGTGGGCAACCGGAAGAGCAGACACGACCCAGGCCAGAGACAGGGTGTGGGCCAACCAGGCTGGCTCCCAGCTGCTCGGCCGAGAGCAGGGTCGGCCGGGGCAGGCACTTACCTGAGGAGACCCAGCTGAAAGCTTAGTGGGCCAGCTGCCACCTCCTTCCCCACTTCCGGCAGCCCTCCGCCCTCCAGGAACCTCTGTATCTTGTCCAGCTGCAAATCCAATGGAAGAGGCGGGTCAGGCAGGCCGGGCTCTGCCTCCTGCGGGTGCCTGCAGCCTTCGCGAGCCCCTGCCCCCGTCCCTGACCCTAACCCAACCTGCTGACAAAAGCCAAGGTTCCTTCCTGACACCCCTTCATCCCTCCCTCGTTCTCCCCCTCCCTCCCTCCCTCCTTGGCCTCCCTCCCTCTCTTCCTTCCTCCCACCCTCTCTGCATCCCATGATGCAGACCAGTGGTCGGCAAACTCATTAGTCAACAGAGCCAAATATCTACAGTACAACGATTGAAATTTCTTTTGAGAGCCAAATTTTTTAAACTTAAACTATATAGGTAGGTACATTGTTATTAACTTAATTAGGGTACTCCTAAGGCTTAGGAAGAGCCACACTCAAGGGGCCAAAGAGCTGCAGTTTGCTGACCACTGAGTAGACAGTCTTCAGTAAGAAGACAATTAAAGCCCTGGCTGGTGTTGCTCAGTGGATAGAGCGTTGACCTGCAAACTGAAGGGTCCTGGGTTTGATTCCAGTCAAGGGCATATACCTCGGTTGCAGGCTCGATCCCTGGCCCTGGTCAGGGCGCATGCAGGAGGCAACCAATCAATGTGTCTCTATCACATCGATGCTACTCTCTCTCTTTCTCTCTGACCCTCTCCCTTCTATTCTCTCTAAAAATCAATGGAAAAATACCCTCTAATGAGGACTATATATATATATATATAAAGACAGCTAGCCGAAACCGGTTTGGCTCAGTGGATAGAGCGTCGGCCTGTGGACTGAAAGGTCCCAGGTTCGATTCCGGTCAAGGGCATGTACATGGGTTGCGGGCACATCCCTAGTAGGAAATGTGCAGGAGGCAGCTGATCGATGTTTCTCTCTCATCGATGTTTTTAGCTCCTATCTCTCTCCCTTCCTCTCTGTAAGAAAATCAATAAAATATATTTTAAAAAAAATAAAATAAAATAAATAAAGACAGCTAAAGCCCTAGTTGGTTTGGCTCAGTGGATAGAGCGTCAGGCCGCGGACTGAAGGGTGCAGGTTCAATTCCCGTCAAGGGCACGTGCCTCAGCTCCCGGGCCCTGTTTGGGGCGAGTGTGGGAGGCAGCCAATCGATGTCTCTCCCACATGGATGTCTCTCCTTCTCCCTTCCACTCTCTCTGGAAATCAATGCAAAAATATCCCTGGGTGCGGATAAAAAAAAGATGACAACTGAAGACCCGGTAGCCCTCGCCATGACCACTGCCCCCGACAGCCCTACACACACTGGGTCCCAGCGCTGCGCCCCGGCCCGGCCTGGCTTCCCTGGCAATGGCCGCGCGAGAGGACGGGCTCAGCTAAACCCCAGCTTCGAGCACCAGGCTTTCCCCCAGGAAGTGATGTCTGAGCCACATTCCCCGCCTGACGGGCTGGTCGCGATGCAGTGACAGGACGGCCGGCCAATGGCAGGGGGCGCTGGCACCGAGGCCGGCAGCAGGCCCGCCCTCACTCACTTTTGCTTTTTCCTGCCGAAGCTCTTTGGTCAGGCTCTTGATGGCCTTCAGCTGCTCCTGCAGGTCCGGTGGGATGGTCTTTTGGACTATGGGAAATGGGCGCTCAGATCCCCGTGGGCATCTCATCCCCACTTCCAGCACCCCCGCCCCGGAGTGAAGTTAGCCCAGAGAACACAGGCCTGGGGGGAGGGGAGGGAAGAAAGGAGACAGGACTGTCCGCAGCCCAGAAAAAAGCCACCGAAGGCTTAACATCCTATGGGGCTTTGGGACCACTGGCCCAGAGTTTGCCCCCAACTCCAAAATCTTCATTATTCTCTGGACCCAGAGCTGTGAATGGACCCAGAGCTGCGAATAGACAAAGGTTACGTTCGCTTCTTCAACATTCTCTCCTCCGACCCCCACTCGATGCTGTTGGCTTCCTTTGCCCCAACATTTCCCCAGCTGCTCTCCAGAGAGCCTGGCAGAGGCACAACCTGCCTCATTCCTCTCCTGAGGCTCCTTCACTCCAAAGGTTTAATTCCATCTTTCAGACCCTAAAGGCTCCAGGAGGGGTGGGGATTGTCCGGCCCGCGGGCCACACAAGGCCTGAGAAATCATTTGGTCTGGCCCTGCCAAGGCATTAGAGGTGAGTTAATTAAATGTTTGCAGGTTAGTGTTTAAGTTGATAATTCTGTATGGCCCACGAATGATATTATAAATAGCCAAATGGCCCTTGGCAGAAAAGAAAGGTCCCCCCTCCCCGCTACTCTAGGAGAACCCAGAATGGCTAGAAGCAGACATTCTATTTTCGGGGATTCGGGCAGAAGAGCGGCCGCCGGGGGGAAAAGGATGAAATCAACTTAGAATGAAGACGTGGTCTCTCCACGCACGTGTTACCCACCCATCATCGCAAGCAGGTACTGGATCTTCTCCAAGTCAGTTTCGCCAGCTTTCTGCGCATCCAGGGTCTTCAGGTTCTCCTTGAACTCCGTGTAGAGGCCGATGAGCTCTCCCATCAGGCGGAACGTCTCCACCGCGCTGGGGAAGCTAGAAGCCACTTTCTCCAGGGAATCGAGTTTCTTAGACTCCATAGAACTCGGTTCTTGTGAGACCTGCCTGGATTCGCTAACGGAGTCCGTACTCTGAACCCAGGGGACGTTCGGACTTGCGGGAGGCTGAGCATACCCGCTACGCTGGCGTGGATCCAAATGGGCTTGGACTTGTGGTTCGACACCCGAGTGCCTTGGGCTGTAAAGGCCAGGGTACGTGAGGCCGCTTGGGTCTAGGACAGAGGATGGCCGGTCACGCTGATCTTGGTCAGGCGATGCCCAATGCTGCTGCTCTGGGCGTGCGCCACCCTGATAAGGGTCTGTTGGTACCAAACCCTCTTGGTCCATCCTAGGCGACATCCAACCTTGCCTGGATAGGCGTGGTGACACCTGACCAGGAGGTGCCAGGCCATGCTGATCTGGGCGTGGAGAGCCATGAGGCTCTGCGCCTGATGGTACCAAGCCTTGGTGATCAGCACCAAGCTGATCTGTTCCCGGTGCCACTAAACCCTGATGATCGCTAGCAGGCTGCACGAAACCAGGTGGATATGCACCCGGCTGAACCAAATCCTGCTGATCAACTCCAGGTGGGACCAAACCAGGCAGACCTGCACCAGGTTGGACTGAACCACGCTGATCCGTTCCAGGTTGGACTAAATCAGGCTGACTTGTACCCGGTTGGACTAAACCAGGTTGACCTGCATCAGGTGGGACCAAACCAGGTTGACCTGCATCAGGTGGGACCAAACCAGGATAACCTGCCACACCAGGCTGTATGAAACCATGTGGATATGTACCGGGCTGGACCAAACCATGTGGATAGACGCCAGGTTGAGCCAAACTATATGGATATGCACCTGGCTGTACAAAACCAGGTGGATATTGACCAGCCTGTACCAAACCACGTTGATCAACTCCAGGTGGGACCAAACCAGGCTGGCCTGCACCAGGTGGGACTAAACCAGGCTGACCTGCACCAGGTGGGACTAAACCAGGCTGACCTGCACCAGGTGGGACCAAACCAGGCTGAGCTGCACCAGGTGGGAGCACACCGTGCTGCAGTGTGCCTGGTTGTAGGAAGCCAGGCGTTTCCAAACCGGGCTGTACAAAACCTTGCTGATCTCTAAAAGGTGGAACCAGTCCTTGTTGATCCATGCCAAATATCGGAAATCCATGCTCATCTGTGCCAATGGGTCCCATACCACTCCCGTCCATCGCAGGCCGCTCCATGGCACGCTGGTCCGGGCCAGGAAATCTCACCCCGTACTGCTGTGCGCCAGGCGGAACCATAGCAGGCTGTGCGGGACCAGGGAGTCCCAGTCCTTGCTGATCTCTGGCAGGTACCCACGGTGGCATCACACCCTGCTGACCCATGCCAGGTGGTACCGGTCCCTGTTCCTCCGTTCCAGGTGGCATCAGGCCCGGCCTGAAGGGGAGGCCATATAGGTCAGCGCTAGGAGGTTGAAACTCCAGCTGATCCAGGCCAGGTGGCCCTGGCCCTAGCTGGTCTGGCCTGGCGTCCATGACTTGGCCCGGGCTGGGGGTCATCCCGCCACGAGCATCAGGGTGCGTGAGAGGATGCTGGTCTGGGGGCAAGTCCTGCGGGACTGGGCCAGGGTAGGCGTCTCGTTCATCTCTTCTCGGACCTGCTGTGCTGGGCCACTCCCTAGGCCTGTGCTGGTCGGCTTCAGTTCTGAACTGGGGCCCAGGGGGGGGATGAGGTTTGGCCAGCCCGGCTTCATCATGGCCCCTATCAGGAAGCCCAGAGGGCAGTTTCTGTTCCCCTTCGGAGGGGTGTCTGGCTCCGCCGGGTCCCGGCAAGGTCTGCTCTGGGCCCAAACCACCAGCGGCATCCGGAGCCCAGTCCGCACCTGGATACACGGTGGAGGGTGCACGCGGAACCACGTCGCGCGGTGCTGCAGGCGGTTTCCCTTTGTGCCTAAGAGCTGCTGGCGTAGACTCTATGCCCTGGTTGAGGAGGAAGGAGGGAAGCAGAGGCTACAAGTGAGAACGCGTCAGGCTTGGTGGGAGGGGTTCTGGGGTTTCTGAGTGGGACAGCCTGAGGCCTTGGCGGGGGGAGACCCTCTGGGCCCCAAAACTAAGCTAGACACAGAGAATTTGACACTTTTTTTAAAATCCTCCCCCAAGGAGATGTGGATACGTTTATTGATTTGCGAGAGAGAGAGAGAGGAAAAGAGAGAGAAACAGCGATTGGTTGCCTCCCCTCCTGTGGGCGCCCTGATCAGGATCGAACCCAAACCAGCAACCTAGGCATGTGCCCTGATCAGGACTCAAACCCATGGCATTTCGGGGTACAGGACGACACGCCAACAAACGGAGCCACACCGGCCAGGGCAGAATTGGACGCTCTTGAAGGATAAGGTCTCCAGATGGTTGAGAATCTACATTTGCAGACGGCATCATAATATGTAACTTTCCTCATAAAAGACAGGGGAGCTCTGGCCAGTGTGGCTCAGTTGGTTGGAGCGCCGTCCAGGGCACCGAAAGGTCTCCGGTTTGATTCCTGGTTAGGACACATACCCAGGTTTAATAAAGAGAGGGGTTCACAGAAAAGTACAAGCGATCCATGCCAACTCTCGCAGAGGGTACAGGGAAAGGGCATGAGGACGCCCTGGCCGGTCTGGCTCAGTGGATAGAGCGTTGGCCTGCAGACTAAAGGGTCCCAGGTTCAATTCTGGCCAAGGGCACATGCCCGGGTTTCAGGCTTGATCCCCAGGAGGGGGCATGCAGGAGGCAGCCAATCAATGATTCCCTCTCATCATTGATGTTTCTCTCTCTCTCTCCCTCTCCCTCCTCTCTCTGAAATCAATAAAAATATATTTTAGAAAAAGAAGAGTCGTCACCACCCACCTGCCAAAACCCGTAATTGACCTTAAAAATGCCTCCTTTGGAAACGCCCATTTCATAGGTATGCGAAGGGTCCCACTGGCCACGCAAGAGAAGATGGTGTCCGGTGTCCGGTGAGCGGTACTGTCTCACCTGGACACGGTGAGCTCATGCTCCTGCTTCTCAAAAGCAGGCAGCGTTTCTATCGATTCTCATTTGCTCCTGGAGTCCCTCGGGACTAGGAGCAACTGTCAAAACACCGACGCTCTGAGCTCTGGGAGGCGTGACGCTGCCTCAGGGCTCACGTGGGTGCTTACTCGTAGGTCTGGCCCCCTTCTATTGGCACCCCGAGAAAACGCGTGCTCACTCACAGCACACGGCAGTGGTAAAACAGCTGCGCCTTTTTTTGTGTGGTTTTCAGAGAGAGTGGGAGAGAGAGGGAGAGACAGAGAGAAATATCGATGTGAGAGAAACACACAGATTGGTTGCCTCCTGCAGGAGCCCCGGCCAGGGCCTGGGCCGGGAGGAGCCTGCAACCGAGGCACATGCCCTTGACGGGAATCAAACCCAGGACCCTCTGGTCCACAGGCTGATGTTCTATCCGCTGAGCCAAACCGGCGAGGGCAAACAGCTTGCACTTTAAACAGCGATGTATAAATGTCTAGTCACCGTTGTGCACCTGAAATGCATATTGTATGGCAACTATAATTGAAAAATCTAAAAAATATGTATTTTAAATAGCGAACGCAGAAGCCACCCTCTACTAGGCCACGCCCCCTTCCAGTGCTTTCTGATGGTGCCTTCCTCTAAAGATGGGCCCAGAATTCAGAAAAGTCTTGGGGACTAGCGGGGTGTCTTCTGTACCCAGTCAATATTTGTCGCACCCCAGGTGGCCACTTGGTGGCGCCCTAGGGTTCCCTCTCTTCCCCTTGGGCGGGTCTGCCTATCTGCAGAGCCCTTTCTGAGGAACCCAGGTGCACAAAGGCAGGAGGAGGGAAATGTCAAGACCAAAAGGACAGCTGAGCCCTGCCTGGTGCCGCTCAGTGGCCAGAGTCTTGGGTTCAATTCCCTGTCGGAGCACATGCCCAGGTTGCCAGTTCGGTCCCCAGTCGGGCCCCGTGCATAGCAACAGGCTGTTTCTCTCACATCCATGTTTCTCTCTCTCTCCCCCTCTCCATCCCTCTCTTTCTAGAATCAATGGAAAACATCGAGTGAGGATTAAAAAAAAAAATCGGGGGTGCGGGTGTGGGTGTGAGGGAGACAGCTGATCCTGACCCCTGAAGGCCATTTGCAAATGCCCATTCTGTTCAGGGAAGCGAGGTGGGGATTCGAATAGCTCCCTGTGAGCGTTTCCCCGAGTGTAAGAGTCACCATGAGCAAGGGGTCCCTCAAGGGGTTTCATTTCCAGGGGTGGCTGCCACCTTCGCCCACTAAGAGTGAAGGGACCCGGGCATGATTTCAGGGCAGCCTGGAGACGAGCCTGGGAACGCTGCAGAAGGAAGCCAGGTGCCACCGTCCATCCAGCGGCCGGCCACGTGCCAAGACCCGGGCCACCACAGGCAGTGCTGGTGGGGCCCGTGAGAACCGACCTCCCCGCTACGTGGCTGACAGGGCTCTAACCTGGAGCCACACCCACGCGAGGCGACTGGCCCACAGCCAGCCACGTCACACATGCACTGCCTCCTCCGGGAATGTGCCCTGGGGTGTGTGCACGCGTGTGAATGTCACACGGAGCACCTGGTCATAAAATTGGGGGGAAAGTTAGAATACCCGTAACAGGAGACTGTGAAATAAAGGATGAACATCCACATACTGGAACCCTGTGCGATGGTAAAAAGGGAGAGCCGGGCCGGTGTGGCACAGTTGGTTGAACATCGAACCAGGAGCCAAGAGGTCGCAGGATCGATTCCCAGTCAGGGCATATGCCTGGGTTCCAGGCTCAATCCCCAGTGAGGGGCGTGCAGGAGGTAGTTATTGATGCTTCTATCTCTCCCTCATTCTCCAAAAATCAATTCATATAAATATAAATATAAATAAA